ACCTTTATTGATGATGCAAAAATATGGGGTTCCTTCCACTATGTTGATGAAATTGCTGGAGCGTTTGAATTTGTGCGGCAATTTGATAAAGACATTGGTCAACAACTCAACCCCCAGAAAACTGAAATCCTGGCTAGAAGGGTCCTCAAAGGAAAGCTGTTGAAGCAGAAAATCCAACTCCCAGTTCAGGTTTCTTCCCAGGTTAAATCACTAGGACGTGTTCAACAGATGAATAAGTGCCGTAACGCTACAATGCAATCAAACCGTGTAGCAAAGGCGAGCGACTGTCTTAAAAAGATTCGACAGTTGCCACTGTCCCCTCCCCAGAAGTCTGTGTACATTCATGCACATGCCCACTCCAAATGGGTGTTCGGTAGTGAAACACAGGGCATCCCCAAGAAAGATCTTCAAAAATTGCGTACGCAAGTGTGTGATATTTTTGACCCCTCATCTCACAACATGCGGTCACCTTTTGCTGTCATGGCTACATTGGAGGATGTATTTCTGGATCCGTTTGCAAAGTGGGCATGTCATGTCTTGAACCATGCTCGCAAACTCGTCAAATTCCACCCAAATATTGCAAAAAGGGCGTTAGGAGCTGTTCTCAGAGATCCCACGCCGAAATCAGGAGCCTGTCATGGTTTTTCAAATGTGCTGTCGTATATATTGTCTGAGTTGAATTGGGCAGTTATATCACCTGATGATTTCACAGTATCCACACCTCATGGGTCATTCCCCTTCAGCGCATGGAGCGACCAATATTTTTCTGGTATTGTCGCTTCTTCCGTTAGAACTTATCTTTTCAAGCAGCAGCCGGTGCGCCAAGAAACATGCAGGATTCCTGAAGGCCACTTGCTAGACATTTCACTCACGAGGTTCTTGTTTGATCAAAAGATGAGGAGCGATGAAGAGTTTGATTTCCTCAAGCCTCATGTTGACAAAATCCCCCGAAGTTGGGCCTACAGTAAGAACCTGCTGCGGATGGCACAGACGGGCCGTGTTTTCACTTCCTCTCGGCTTCATGCTGCTGGCTTGGCCCCGGATAATTTGTGCATCTCGTGTGGGGAAAAGGAGACTGTGAGGCATTTGTTTTGTGATTGCCCGGCTTATTCCAGAACGAGGCCTGCGCCAGTCGAGCCTGGTCATGACGTCACTATGTTGACAGGGGTTGTGTTTTCTCCCCCTTTTCAGTTCGAATCATGTTGTCTCACGTGCCCCGAGCGACCGGGTGGGCCTTTTTTCCCGACTGAGATTGTTTTTATTGATGGGTCTTGTTACAAAAGCAATTGGCACCAGGTTGCCACGGCTGCGTCAGCATATTTTCTTTCCACGGAGTGCAATTTTGCGTGCCTCCTCCCCACGCAAGATTGCACGAGCCAGAGGTCGGAAATTTTTGCAGCAGCATTGGCGTTGTCACATTCCAGTGGTCCTATCACCATTGCTAGTGATTGTTTGACGGTTGTTCGAATTTTCAAAAGGCTTCAAGATGCTGATTTTTCTCGCGAATGGATTCACAAGTTGGACAACTGGGATTGCTGGAATTTGGTTTGCTCCGTTGCGAAATCTCGTCCTGGTAGGGTGCATATCATAAAAGTAAAGGCCCATTGTACGGCAAAGTCTAGTCAGGATCCATATCTTACGTATGGAAATAGCATGGTGGATGCAGCCGCTAGGGCTGTAGCTAGAGATGCGTTTAGAGCCAAGCTCGAACCTTACCGTAAGTTGATCACAGTGGCTGTGTCATGGCAATGCCATATCATTGCCACGCTGGGCGAACGATGTGCGTGCCAATTTTTGTGCCCGTCAGACCAACCTCCGAGTGATCCAACCTTTTTCCTGAGCAGTGTAACAGTGAATTCTTGACCAAGTGTGAAAACGGGACCGTTCGCCCGAATGACTTCGACAGACTCTGGGACGTTTATCAAACTTTTCGGGATTCTTTCACCTCTGTCATTGTTCAACCCCATGTCTTTCCTCAGCTGGACCAGCGGAATGCTAGGTCTAGGTTGCAGAATTATTCTGGTGAGTACTTCCAGGCTTTGTCTAGGTACACCCAGGATGTCTGTGTAGAGTTTCTGGTCAATCAGCAAGGGCCCAAAGTTCCATGGGTCTTGGTGTTTTTTGACTTTGTGGGTTGTTATCCTGATTTACCCGAGTGGGTTGACGGCAAGAAACTTCAACATTTTTTGAATCAATTCAAGACCCGTTTTCGCCGTTTCTGCAAAGGAAAATTCACTTCATATCATCATTGCATGAATCTCCGCGACCTCTATTTTGGGAGGATGAGTGGTTTTGTTGGGTTGTTCAAACCCGTCTCTATTCACAAAGTCACTTTCCTGAGTGTTCATTCTTCTGCTCAAATTGGCTATTCAGGTGGGTCTCCCTCTGGTAGAGGTCCTGGTGTGTCCTGTCGGTCCATTGATATTCCCTTCTCTGTCCTCAGATCATTTCCTGCTTTCGCTGATTAATTGTGCTTTCGTTGCCTTGCTGAGTTTCGCGC